CGGAAGTCCATGGTAGCAGTTTTGCTGGCATATATATCTATATACACTCACCCACATATGTGTATATATATGTGTATGTGAGTATCTACCAAAAAACAGGTATGATTTAATCCACATAGACAGATCCTCTTTATCAATAGAATTGCAATAAATAACTTTTAGCATTTTATTGTTAGCTACATTCCGGTAGCACTAAATAGCATCAATTGGGTTCAGAGTTGGTATGTATAAACAGAAAACTAGAACCATCTGACACTGAGAAATTTATTACCTACACCCAGGAAATAAATAAGTAAGATTATAAAAACAGGTTCAGAAAAGCATGAGACAATCAATAATAAAGTGTATAGCTAGACTGTTGTCCTTGAAACTTCCAGTATTTTACAGACAACGTTCTCCCACTATTTTTGCTCAACTAGCATCAGATTGAAAACAGTAGAACACAATTCATCTGAAATACATGTGAATAGCCCATTCTATTTGCATGCACTTTTTCTATTTCTTTTGCAACTGTACATTTTTTTTTGCACAAAAATAAAATATCTGCCTGCTTGAGAATTGAATCTATTCAAACAAACAAACTATGAATATATATTGTCTAAAATAAGGTTGTGGGTTTTTTTTTTGTGGAAGTACACCTATAATACATAGCTGATTAGAAAAAAAAAATACCAACTGTATGGTTTATACATGGTTAAAGCTGCGGCAGAAGTTACGGAGCTAATCCTGAGGCCCTTATCTGAGTAAAGACTGCACTAGTAATGAGCTCCTCATGGTTTAAGCAGGATTTTCCCTTGTACTTGACATAGTCCCTATGGGGAAAGTCTCAGATTCCTGCAAGAGGGAGGGTTGGTAAATTGGGAATTTCATTTGCCCTGAATCAGCAATATGCTAGGGCCCAAAAACATAGCTTCTTTTTATTATTTTAGCAAAGTATGTTCAGCCTGTGATTTTTAACACGTTCCTTTGATACAAAAATGCGGACGCCAGTAGGAGGTTGCACATGAAATTACTCACAAGCTCATGACTTTCAGTGACTTTGGAGATGGCAGTTTTCTGTTTGAGCTGGTAAGACTGTAGATCATCCTCCCAGGATTAAACCTACACTCCACTGAGTTACAACCAGTAGACTGCTCTAAGCTGCAGGTGTTGGGCAGGGATGATAAAACACCGTCATTAAGTTTTCCTACCTCTAACATTAATGTATAGTTGTCAACTTGGGGTTATTCAGAGGTGTTCCTTTGTGTTTCGTCAGAACTTGACAATTATGGCAGCAGCGTGGCCTCCGTGTACTACCACAGCTCTGCAAAATGCCTGTGGTGGGGCGGATATTTGACAGTATGAAAGTTGATGGCAACATCACCGTAGAGCAGGTATTAAAACTCTTCTGCGGGGAGTTGCTTGTAAGAGTACGAGGTAAACTGCTTCAAGAAGACAGATGACACCACACCTACGTGCATGCACACTTGTTTTCCAACAACAAAAAGCCCGGCTGAATTGTTGCAAAAGCAATTTGCCCAGAAAAATCTTTGAGGGACTCTGGACTGGCATGATCTATACAAGTTTCAATTCTTCCACCTCCTATTTACCCGTGAGCACCTGTATTAGGATAGTTTTTCCTTCTTAGTTACCCTCAGCCAGGAGATCTGTCTCAGTATACCAGCTGTATCCACCTCCAGAGACTCTCCTGAGTGAGGAGTTATTTCTAGCCTGGTAGATGGAGGGCTGGCTTTACAGCCTCTCCGTTTTGGCAAGCGTGTCCTTTACACTTATTTTCCACACTGTTGTGGATTTTTCCTTCAGCACTTCATAAACACTAACAGATGTTAATCTCTCCGCTCAAATAAGATACTTCACAAAGGGAGCAATTGTTTTTCCCGTTTTATGCAGCAGGAAATAAGTTGTGGATTTAGTGTTAGTTATAGGAGGTCAATGGGAAATCCAAGTGCTGTGCTTAGTTCTGATGAGCTGTAACACAAGTCTGTCTTTCTCTTTTCTGATCGGCTTTGTAATCTACCGTAATCTCCCTTTTTCAAAATCTGTCATCATCCTTCCATCTTTTAGTATGACAAATAGAGCTGGCCTGGAAAATGCCAATGCTTTCACCTCCAAAACCTGTCTTTCTTAAATTGGAATTCAAAGCAAAATGACAAATTCAGAAGAAGTAAAAAGAGCTGGAAAAAACAAAACAAAACAAAGGAAAAGAGACAGCTGAAGAAATTATCTTTTGAAGAGCTAAGGCAGAAAGCTTTGATTTGTCAGCAATCTACCTGTAAGATTTTTGTCAATAATCTCCCTTGAGGCAGAGAATGAAATTGATAAAATCTTCACTGGAGGCTGTCAGAGGCTGTGAATGGCATCATGCTATTTATTTCAGGTATTTAAGTTTCCCTAGGCTCATGCCATAATTAATTGAGAGAGACAACCTCCTCAGGATGACTCAAAACACATAAATTAAGCTCTGTCTCTGAACTGCTCTCAAAGGGAATCTTTTTCTCTCCAAAAAAGAGGAGTCTGAACTCCTAATTTCAGAGGGTCCATGCCTTTATCTGCCATGGGGTCCTCAGGGACTTCAGCTTTTCTGCATCATCCTTCCTAGCCCAATGGTATCTGCCTGCATGTAATTCAAACTCTTGTCTCACTGAGATAAAACTAAGTTTCCTGTGTACAAATTCCGTGTTGGGGGTGGGGACACAACATTTTCTTTTGCCAGTTTACACTAGTGGGAGTCCTCAGAGCAGGGACAGCGATCTCAGCTATACTTCTGAGTATGCTGAATGTTTGGTCACCCCAGTTTCACATGCCTTCTTGTGCATTTGCACAGTACTTACTAATGTGGAGAATTATTCTCGGTGCTTTTACTTTCTCAGTGGTATAGTAAAAATATAGCATCTGACATTACCATGAAATAAGATTAGATTACCTTACACCTAGATTTAACCATGAGGCTCTTGGGCTTCCAGAGCTGAGGTACCGAAGGAGCTTCTTAAGCAGATAAGTAAGTGAAATATGTGATAATTTTTCAACACCTCTGTAGCTTTTCCATAGAAAACATAAGGTAATATTGTCATTAATTCACTTCCCAGTCAACCTAAAGTTACTATTGCTGAATGTCAAACTGCTGTATTTTAGACAGTGCCGTTAAGTGCCTCTGTAATTTTTTTATTCTTCACTTCTAGCTAAAACATGGAGTTTTAAAAAAAAAAGCTCCTTCTAGGTGCAGGGGTCTAGACTGCTTGCTGAACAGGCAGAAGGCAGTCTCCGTTTCACACTTTGTTGGTACTGTAGTCCTTCCCAAGAGACAGCAGTGGGGTTACTGCTCTGTTTGAAGGGAAACGTGTACGGGGCTTCCAGGATCTGGCCTGGTGGTCACTGGTGTTCTCATTCTTTGTTATTGACTGAAATACTGAGTGCTAACTACCCTACACTTCCTCTATTTTTCTTCTCTCCTCAAAACAGGGCCAGACGTTCCAGTTGTTAGTGTGCACAGTACAAGTAATACTGCAAGTGAGTATTCCTTATGGAATAGGTATATTTTATTATCATCCTTGATTGATCTGGGGAGCATGGGGGAGGGGAAAGTAAGTAAGTAAATGAAAACTGAAAGATGACTGATTCATATAAAGTTCTATTAATTACCTTTTAGCAACATCCACATCTGCAAACGATAAGGAAAGAAGTTAATCAAATGGCTAGAACTTTCCCAGGCTTTTTGGATATGTTTCATGCTAAGTGCATATCATTCATCTTCTATTTACACTTGAGTTAATTAGATGGCAGGTTGGTCTTCATCCATTTCACTTTCTATGTAGATTATGCTGCCATTACGATACACCTTCTGTATTTCTAGAGATATTTTTAAAGTTACAATTCAATTATCTTGAAGTAAGGTACAGTCTTTGGACAATTGATCATAAAATCTGACCTACATACAATGAACTTAGTCCTCTTACATTTCTCAAATCAGAGCAATTGCACTGACATTTTCAATGGTGGGAAATCCAAGGATAAAGGCTTTTTAGGAGGGTATTCAATGCCTCTAGTTTTCAAGGTTTACTCACTGCTTTCTGTATATTGACACCAAATCTGTTGTTGTTTCCTGGCTGCTTGAGGTGCTTTGTAATGGACGACTGTCCTTGAATGGCAGAATTTTCCTCACTTAAGTATTTCTCTGGTGCAGTAGAGGTAACAACTCTGCTATCTCCAACTCCACTATGGCTCCACGTAGCATGAAGGTGTAAATTAGAGGAAAGGGGACATCTTTCCATTCAAAACCACTAAACCAATCCTTATCTATTCTAATTTCATTCAATAGATTATCCTCAGAATTTTTCCCAGAATCCAAAAGTCTGAACTGTATTTGTCTGCATCCCTTTTGTCATGGGCCAGCCGCTATTCAGCCATAACAGTGGACCTAACATTGCATGTTGAAGTATCATACTGATCAATAGTATCATGCTACCAGGTGTTAATTAATGCCTGCACTTTGGCTTCCTGGTTTGTTTTTTTTTTTTTTAATGTCATTGTTGATAGTATTTGCAAAGCTGAGTGCCATAGCACACCAAGGGGAGAGAGTTTTATCCAAGTCGATGAGGGGTAGTTATTACTGCTCAAAGTAAATTAATTGACTTCTGCAGAGCTGCTCAATTCTGTGAGGGTAGACTTTTGCTCTTTTTTACTTGTATCTAAAATACTGTTGATAGTGAATTATTGTAAAAAAGATTTATGTGCAGCATCTTAGAGGAAAACAAAGCAAGTCAGGATAGAGGGACGTTGTTTGTTGTAACAACAAGAAACCAAATAATAAGAGACATAATTTACCATTAATGTTTCAGTGCAAGATTAGATTATCCTCTTCAATTCATAAAAGAATGATTAAGGATTACTTCAATTATTCCATCCTCAGACTATAATTATACCATTTTGGTTGACTGCCCAGAACAAACATTCTCCTTAGATTATCTGTTTTGGCCCTAAGTGGAGGGTTTATTGTTTAATAAAAAATCTACATTTTGGAAGCAAGATTGGTAATTTGAGTAGAAAATTTAAAAAAAATTAATTAATCATTCTTTCATGTGCAAAAGGTTTGCTTCAAATCTGTCTGCAGCTTTAAGCCAAACTGAAGTCTTGCTCCTGGTTGAAGTGCAGAAGTCAGAGGAGGACATGCAGTGATCTAGTAGAGCTGTGCTGGCTAAATATTGACGTGGAATATGTAGCTTGAAAAGGATGCCTGCTTGAGGCTTAGGATGTTGCCCAGCAGACCACCCTTTCCCTGTAACAGCTGCTGTTAGTATTTGTCAGGGATACTAGGACTCATGTTGTTCATCAGCAATTTTATTGTTAGTGCTTAACGAAAACAAAAGCCTACTGAAGCCAGAAAATGGAATAGATGTATATGTTTTGAATTAAGCTGATTGCTCAGTTCCTGAATTGCAAAGCAGTTGCATTATAAAAAAAAGTATTTATAGAAGGAATTCATTTACAAGATTTATCATTGCGCATTTTCCCTTTAATTTTTTTGAATCTTGATTTATCTCTGATGTGATGATTCTCTGTACCTTTCAACTTGCTTTTTCCTCCTGTTTTCTACAGAGTTTTATATTTTGGAAAATAATGCTGTGTTGAAAGAAGCTGTTTTTAAGAAAAAGAATTCCAGGACTGAAATTAAAATGCTTCACATTGAGGATTACGGTAAATTTGGCAAAATGTTATTTTAACAAACCAAAAGCTTTCTTGCAATGTTACTGTTTTTCATCTGTGTAACTACCAGCCTTTAATGTTTTGCTCTTTTCTTAAAAGAACTCCCTTTACAGTTGTCACTGCCAAAAGATTTCACGGATCGAAACCAGTATGCCCTTCTATTAATAATGTAAGTATCTGTGTAGAATCACTCAAAATAATGAAAAACTACTTCATAGAAAACGTTTAACTCTGTAACTAGAAAATGTTTTCTTATCTTGCATAGGAAAATTACTTCATGGATTTGAGTTGATAAACCAAAAGGCTTGGTTTTGGGAAGATTTTATTATAGGTGCAATCTGCTAGAGATGCCTGGGGGTTTTTTGAGCTTGTCAAACCTAGCTCTGCTTCATTGTGTTTTTATGTACGTGAGGCACTGGCCCTTCTGATGGTGTAGGTGGGAGTAATTCTGCAGTCTTTCTTGGACCCATACTGATCGCTACCCACAGAAGATCTCATTCAGAGCATATGCTCCTTTTTTTTCCCTTTTTATCCCTGATAGAAATGGGTAGAGCTTCCAAGAGGGGCTCAGTTCAGATGCTTAAAGCAAAACTACTTTTAGGAACACTGGAAAGAAGAAAAAAATATTTTTGAGCATCAATGGCCGAAGGCATTATAGGCATGATCCAAAGTCTGTTGACATTTGTAGAAAACCTCTATGGGAGGAAGGAGGTACTCCCTGGCAACCTGCACTGTTCTTTTAAAAAGAAATAGTGTGTATTTCTTTAAGAGACAGTCAGACTTTAAGTTGCACATCTACAGAATATATAGCAGAGGAAGAGAGCAGTCATGAGCGTACCTGCAGCCTACCTAGGAAAATCAGTGACGGCCAGCTCAGGGCATCATTTGTTGCTCTCCAGCTGAGCTCAGCATGGGTCTGCCATGGGTGTAGAGGGCTTTCCTGTACCTACAGATCTTCTTCCAGTCCCATTTGGATGGAACTGGTGTGAATTTCACTAACACAAGTGTAGGAGTGCACTGCGATTTCATGAAAATACAGCTGAGCTGTATCACCTGGAGTAGACCTCCCCTTAGTGACAGCAGAGAGCCTTACTGTTGTATGTGAGGTCAAATTTACAAGTTTGAGCTGCTGAGTGATCCCAGATTCCTCTACTCAGATCAGATCTTAGATCATAGGACAGAGAGGCATAAAACTGCTTATTTTTAAGTCCAGTTTGTGTTTAAAACTCAGGTTTTTCAGTTGTATTTATCTGCAGTTGTGGAGGCTTTCTTCTTTAAATGGCTCATGAACACGTTTTTCTTTTCTTGTGGAGAAACAGGACACATGGATTATTTTATTTCTGCAGTATTTGCTAGCATGATCTTGAAGCATGATTATATTTTAAGCAGCCCTTTTAAGTGTGCCAAAGGCAAACTGACTCTGTGAATTGACACCAGCAGCATTACAGGGAGTTGCAAATGCTTGCGCGTGTTCTTTTTTCTGAGAGTAAGGAAACACTAAGGTGTTAGCAGTGTAACGCTTCCCTTTTTAAGTATCCTAGTAAATACATAATCTGCTATACACAGTTATGGTAGAATATGAAGTTATAAACTCATGTAGAACCTAGAGAAGACAGGAGGGAAGGATCAGAGACCTGGAGAAGGCCACGGCCAAAAATGAGAGGAAAAGGGGAAAAAAAGCTAGGGAAGTACTATTATGAAACATTTTTAGATATCAAGAGTTGAAATAACTGATAACAGTATTGAGGCAAGGTCTGAATTTAAACTTACCGAAGTTGTCAGTACCCAGTGAGCAAATAATGTGGCCAAGTCATAATGTATGGACATGTTTTATAATTGTTTTATTTTTTTATGATGTGCATGTTGGATAAAAAAGAAATTCATCCACTTACGAATACAGATTGTGGTATCTACATTTATAATATGGAGACTTTGCCTGTTTTTAGTCAAATCCTTACCTTTGCGATACTGAATTGTCAATGTTAGCTTTAACAGGAATTATTTTTAGAAAACCCTATAGACTAATGAAAGTACGAAACTGAAAACTTGAAATCTATCCTGGCTCATGTAATGTTGCATGTGTTGTGCCCCCCCTCTTCCGTAGAAGAGAAAGAAGTTACATTTCTTCAGCAGCTTTTTACAGACTTTAAAGTAAGGTTGCCAGCAATCCTTTTTTGAGTTAAAGATGTCCCCGAATGAGATAAAAAACTGAAAACTGTCACTGAAGTTATGGAAGGTTCCCTTGCGGGATGATTATTTGAGCCTAATAAATTCTGCCTACCTCTTGACAAAAAACGATTGGAAATCTGTGTGCGTGCAGAGGGTAATTTGTTGACCCACACAACTCCAAATGGGTATCTTAAGGTTTATTTCATTATCAGAAGTACTATTTAAAAAAAAAAAAAGTGACGTATTCAGGTCCAAGAAGAATATATAGCTTTTACAGGAAATACTGTATTTATAGTATCATTTCCCAGATATTTGACTTTCCTGAGTCCCAGAGTGGTCTTGTTGGGACTAATTGAGAAACCCTGTTCCTACTGCTATAAGTGTTCGACAGGAATTGTATTAGTGGCTGATAACAAGCACTGCCTTTCTTATTTTCCACTGCACCTACTTTCTTGCTTACATTCTCAGCCACAATTATCATTATATTCTAGCTATTTAAAGTTTGAAAAAGAATGCTTACCAATGTCCTTGGTAAGAATGTTGGTTTAATTGTATATCCATTTTTTGGAAAGGAGATTCTATATAACATCTTGATCCAGGCAGCATACACTTAAGATGTATATAATAAAGAGAAGATATGTATCTGGAAGAGTGAAGTATTAGCAAATATGAAGTGGCTTTTGCTTTCCATCTCAGTAGTACTGCAGTTTGACAAGGACTTAAGAAAAAGAGGGAGGGAAAGAAGGAACAAAAGAAGGAAGGAAGGAAGGTGAAGAAAAGAGAATGTGAGTTTAAACTGAAATTCACCTAATATGTCTCTGCAGTGCAAATTAAATGCTTAGTTAAGTGCATATAAGCTTCTAAGTGCATATAGGCTTTGTCCCCTAAGCTGGAGGGTAAATACGGCATATAAGATCTAACAGGCTCTGACTGGCTGTTTGGCTGCAGTGATGGCTTCAGCGTCACCCCAAGCCTCTGGTGAAGATTCATCTTCCCTGTGTCTTACATTTTGCCAGCATCTGGTTTGCCTGTGTGGTCTCTTCTCTGTCTGCAGAATTCTTGTGCTGGTGGCTGGTTTCGCTGGCTCAGAATAAAGTGGTTTTTTGCTGGCTGAGGTTCATAATTTTGCTGTAAATTTTTATCAGCAGCGACTGCTTCTGTGTGGTGTTAGTGTGCTGTTTGGATCAATAGGGTTACAATTATGATAACAGAATTTGGAAATAGATAAAGGCGAGAGAGTTTGGTATTATTTGGTAATTTTTTTTCAAATCACTGAAAGCTAGTAACCATTTCAAAGGTGCGTGACTATAATAAGGCTTCTATATTCATGCAAGGATGCCTGCAGATAAATTTGAACTTCCAGCACATGGCACCCAGGTGTCTGAGTGTTAAGGCTGAATCCTGGAAGGGAGCCTGGACCAGTGGATTCTGGTCCTGATGGGAAACCTAAGTGTGAACTCAGTACAGCTCCATGTAGACACAAGCTCAACTTAAGGACCAGGCCCTGAATATCCTGTAACCTTCACCATAAGGATTTTGTGAAGATTCATCCATTAGCAGTTGCAAAGCATGCTGCAACATTCAAATAGAAGATCATTGTATTGCTGTGTTAAAATTTATGTCCATCTGTATGGCTGGACTATCTAACAGATAGGTCTTATGTAGAAACCAGTTATGTCAGCTAGCACTATTTTTCTTTCCAGAATTGTGATGCATAGGCCATAAAATGCTAAATAGGTTATAACACTCTTCTTTCTTCCATTTGTTCTCCTAAACCACTAAGACACTTCACACTCAGTTTCCTTCTGATATAATACATACAGTGTAGCTATAGATTAGAGAGGTGTACACTAATTGCCTGAAAGAGTGATTATCATCTCTTTTCTATATAATTAAGATCAAAGTTTAAATTTCAGATCCTTGATTTTCTCATTATGGTTCACCTTACTCATTAAAAAAGTTGGAAGATACATTCCTTGGTTAACACACAGGAAATGATTAAGTAAAGACTCTGGCATTTAATCTGGATAATAAAATGAGAGGTGATAATCATTCTTTATTTTTTCTTGAACATAATTAACCTCATTCCTTCAAAATCTGTAGATAATGTATCTTAAATGTCAGCATTTATTATTTAACACTATTTAAAATTGTCCAATATGTAAGTGGATATTGTAAAACTGAATCAGTGGAGAGATTGTTCTGATCTTTGAGGGGAAAAACAAACAGGTATTCTCCAAAGTAACAGTGAATTGTCACCAAGAGGTTTCTGTTTGTTTGTTTGTTTATTTGTTTCCTTATATTTTGGTAATAAACAGGAATCACTTCACCTGTTATTGAAATGATGAAAGTTTTAGGCCTTGCACAGGCAATCAAACCTGTTTATGCCTCCAGTTAATACACTCTCGGGACTGATAGCAAGATAAGACAGTAGGATTGGAAGTGAAGATTTTTTTACAGCTTTGGGAATAACTCATTAAAAGACTAAAAGAGAGGCATAATGCAAGTATTGGGAAATATTTGAGATCTGAGGTACGGTAACACTTTGTGTATTAATAGCTGTCTTGCATACCTTTCATTTGTTGTAAAGGATATTAGTCATTTTAACCGGCAGCTGTTGCAAGTGAAGGAACAATGCTTGGCTACATGGTGAAGTGTAAAAATATGTGGTGGATTCCACTACTTTGATTGCGATATGCTTGCAAGGGGGACATCCCTGAAGGCCTTTTTGTTTGGCCAGTTCTTCCTCTGTAAAACAGCAGCAAATTTCACTTTTTTGGGGGATCCCTAAGTTGTGTGACTGATTCACTAATTGCTTTGCAAGCCCTCCATTTCATGCCTGTATTCATCCTGCCTCTGCCGAGCCTGGCAGTATTTTACTGCTCTTTTGTGGTTTTGTTACATCAAAGTATTTGATGGACACTCTTTTCTTTTTTACTCTTTTAGATTTTCTTCCCCATTCTTTGAACTTTGTAATATTTCTCGAGGCCTAGAGGGAGAATTCATTTAGCTTAGGCTAAAACAGGGATAGACTGGAGGCTCACTCCAGCTGTTTCATTTGTAGTGAAATGGTGCTACGGGCAGCGATGGATCTGCTCACTCCCTTTCTCTTCAGTCTTGTCCCCAAAAAAGGCTTGGGGAATCGTTGAGCTAAGATCCATCCTCTTTCAGCCTCCCCTACTCCCACTTCCCCCACAGCACTACATATCTTACTGCGTGAATAAAATGCTCGTTTAATCTTCCTTAGAAAAAGACAAGAGGAGATTCAAAACATCACCTCCTTTTCTGATGGCGCAGGACAGTGTTACATCTCTTGTTCTCAAAATTGCATTTTCAAAGCCTCAAGGGTTTCAGAAAGATATTTTAAGAATAACAATTTTATTTTTTGTACTATGCTATCTACTTCAGTCCTGTCTATCACATGATTCTACCCTAGTAATGGAATCACTTCTGGTGATGTGTTTTAATTTGTGCCATATCTGCGGGGAGGAGTTGTAAACACATTATCTGTTTCTAGTTGCAGTCTGCTATACCTAAACAGTGTATATGAACAGAGAGAAAACATTTGGGGTTTTCTGTCCTCAATGTTTGAGGCTATTCAGGTTCCCTGATTTTCGACCAGTAATGATGGGTGTGCTTGAAAGCTGATGCTTGTGAAAGAGATGCTCATGACATCTGAAAATGAAGTGGATTTTTCTATTACACCAGTTTTGCAAAATGGTCTTCTTTCCCCACTCACTTTCACCATAAGCAAAAGATGACTTTTGAGTGATATTTCTTTGCATAGATTTTATCCTCTGAGTTGTAGTCTTTCTCACATATTCACTATCAAGTTACCTTTTCCATATGCTGCATCAAATCCACTGTTTTGCAGAAATAGAAGGAGATGCACTGGAAATTAAGCAGTGATAATAGCAATTATTTGCCATGTATCTTTTTAAATTGTTTCCCCTGCTGCTTGGTCAGCCCTATAACTTCTGAAGTTCCTATTTAAAAACTTGCCACTTAGTTTTTAAATGGTGCAAAACAAATTTTGCTGCAGTTGTGATAGCAGAGTGGCAGAGGAGTATTGCTCAGAGTACAGCAGGAACAGCCTCTCTGGTAACGCTGTATTATTCCTTGTAGGCTGTAACTCAAGTCAGGAACAGAGACTTTAGTTTAAGCTTTTGGTTATAGAATCTGAGAGAACAGATTCAGCAATGTATGAACTTACGATGAGCTGCCCCTTTTTCCAGACAGTCTGACGTGTATGTGACTGCCTTGCAAGAAGCATATTACCCACTAAGGTCAATGATATTGTTATATTATTGATGGCTTCTGTCTATTTAAGTGGTACCTCAATGGTGAACTTCAGCAGTATGCCCGAGTTGTCAGCAATTGCGCTGCCACGGTGGACTCATAATCTGAGTGTAGTCGCTGTCGAAGACACACACTAGGCAGCTCTGAACATTGAAAGTTAGGAATAAAAATAAAAAAGAGAAAGTGCAAGTGCTGTCACTTACAAGGAAAAAAATTAATCGGGAAGAATTAGGCATAGTCTTCATTCGAATCATTCTGCTTTTGTTGTTTGACTCTGGAGATGATGCTCCTTAAGGAACCCTTGAGGTATGTTGAAGAGCCTGTAGCTTCATATAGCCCTTTCAGTGCTGGCTTCAATTTTGCTGTAGTGCTTTGGCTAGTCCATGGTTCCCTTATGGCCAACCATAGTCAGGTGGGAAGAAGACTTCTGCGTTTGTATTGCACCGAAGCATAAATGGCATGGACTTTCTTCCAGGCTTACTAGTGGGGTCAAAAAATAATTCTATGAAGACAGTACCACTGAACAGTAGTTAGTTATAATTAGGCTGTAAGTAGTGATGAGCATAAAACAAAAACTGACCTTTGTGATAGCTGTAATCCCAGGACAAACTTCACAAATCAGGCTGTGCATCTATTATCGCACTGTAGTAACAAACTTGCTTTGTTACAGAGCCCTCAGGGTGATGTTCAAACTTGCATAAAGGATTAATACCTTGCAGAAGCCCCATTTAGAAGGTTAAAAGTGGGGCCTAAATGGTGCATAGAATATATGCTGTCTCTCTGTGGAGGACAGAGGCACACCTCAGATAATCAGTATCATTGTATAGTAGCAACTGAAGAGTAAAGAGACCTTTTGATGCTAATGGGAATTTTGACATGTACCTCAATGGAAATGGCTTTAAATGCCTGTCACAGACTACTTATATGGACATTCTTGAAATAAATTAGCCACTGGAAAATTGCTTCCAAAAGCAATACGTCAAACAACCCATCGTGCAGGAGTGGAAGATGTATAGTATTTACAGTCTGAGCTTAAAAGTAGCCCAGCTATGCCCTCCAGAGAAGGAGCTTGGGAAAACATCAGTCAGTTCTCGCCCACCGAGAATCTTGCTGAGGTTCTGTCTGTTTTTCCTTTCTTAATAGGAGAAATTATCTGAGGGTATCGTCTTTCATTTAAAACCCTTTTTGGTTTTAAGCACTGTTTGGTATAGAGAAAGGCTTACAATTGTAACGGTTCTTCCCCTGTTCCCAAGTGTCTAGATATATAACATATATATATACACACACACACATGCATATATAACCTAGATATATAACATGTATAAAACAAATGCTAACACTGTATTTGTTTTGTTCTTGTATTAGGTGGGAGGGAAGCAGCCTGACTCATGATATTTTCACTTGTATGGAGTGCATTAAACTGTTGGAAAGATACCTAGCCAGACAAGGACATTTCTGACCTATTATCTTATTGTGGAAGGTTGGAAGAACTTTAAAAAAAAATTAGAACTGATCTGAGGCTGCTCTATTGGAAGTAGTGGTAAAAGCTCTCTGAAAGCACCTATGTCAATGTAGAGTGTTTCTGAAAACCTTGCTCTGTACAATAAGCATAAATTGAAAGAACTGTTCTGCTCTTGTTCTTACTGTAAATAATAATGATAATATACTACTGAAACGTGTGTTTTCTGCAGAGTTCACTTGACAATCAGTATTTCCAAATTCATTGCTCGGCATTGTTAGCAGTTAGTGTAATCACAACTGAATTGGTTAAGCAAACAAAAAAATGCCCTTCCTTTCTTTTTATGAAGCCAAGTATAAACTTGATGCACAAGATAATGGCGAGTCAAGCATAACATATTGTTGTGGTTTAACCTGGCAGGCAGCCAAACACCACACAGCCGCTCGCTCACTCCCCCCACACAGTGGGATGGGGGAGAGAATTGAAAAAAAAAGTAAAATTCATGGATTGAGATAAAGACAGGTTAATAGAACAGAAAAGGAAGGGAAAATAATAATGATAATAATAATAATAATGGTAGAATATACAAAATAAGTGATGCACAATGCAATTGCTCACCACCCGCTGACTGATACCCAAGCAGCGATCGCTACTTCCTGGACCATGCCCCCCAGTTTATATACTGAGCATGATGTCATATGGTATGGAATACCCCATTGGCCAGTTTGGGTCAGCTGTCCTGGCTATGTCCCTCCCAGTTTCTTGTGCACCTGGCAGAGCATGGGAAGCTGAAAAGTCCTTGACTACTGTAAGCACTACTTAGCAACAACTAAAACATCAGTGTGTTATCAACAATCTTCTCATACTAAATCCAAAACACAGCACTAGGAAGAAATTTAACTCTATCCCAGCTGAAACCAGGACACATATTGTGACTGAGTCTATAACCAAGTAATCCTGATTTCAGTGCATGATACAGCAACTATGTAGGTAGGTCTGACTGAATTTGAGTACATATGTATTCAACACATGCTTGCTAATTAATAGAGCAATTTTCTTGAAGATGGTCTATGTTATCCACAGCCAAAACCAGATATTGAATCAGCACGTTATTGTACATACAAGACAGTAGTTATTGTAGGAGATTTTTATCTCTCTTTCCTCCCCCCAGGTTTATATAAGTCTCTTTGGCAAAATAATAATTTCTGTCTTCATCTTTCTTTCACCTTAGACAGGGTATTCCCACAGACACTGTCCAATCTAATTTCCATATAGCCAGCACAGACACTTTTACATTTTAATTTGCATTCAACTGGCAGTTGCAGCCTGCATAGAAGTATTTTGCATTTTGTACACCTTCGTGGTAGCCTGCTCTCTTATTCTGTGTTTATCTTGGGGGAAAAATAATGACAAGCTTCCCTTTTAAAACTGACATTTTATTTTCTTTGGAAGGAAAATAGTGTATTTGGCTTCAATGGAAAATGCTTATTGTTCTTCTAGAGACTGCATTCTCCCATTCTATTCCACCTTTTCTGCTGTAAACCACCTTTTTTTTCAGTCATAAAATAAACTTATCACTTCTGCCTGCATCCATTTCTTGCTATGAATTTGAATGGAGAAAATATAATTTTCTCCAACGTGTATTTTAGTCTTCTTTGTACCCTATTTCAAAAAATTCTTTCAAGGATACAATAATGAAATTATTTTTGTTTTCTAAGATGAAATCCTTCCTAATAGTATCATATATCCTACATAATCGTAATCAGGGTACTGAATGAATATTCCTTTTTGTCTGCTTACTGTGACTTAACAAATTCTACATGAGCCTTCTCAGAACTGAGCTAGCCATTAGTGATTATGTTATTTTTCTTGTTCACTTTATTAACCTGTAAGCAGCACTACGTGCTTTAGTTTTCTGTTTCTTTCTATAAAGAATATTCAAGTATTGGCAACACTGCAACATAGTGGTTATAAAGTTAAAGAAATTTTTTCACTTACTACTACTGCAGGGATACCAGCACTAGCTAATGTGATGGTATCGATGGAAGTGACAATAATTCAACAGGATTGCATAACCGACTGAACTCTGCCATCTAGGCTAAATAAAATATCGGAGAACGGCAAAGTGCATCACATTGTCAATATAGTCTTCGTTTCTGTCTGGTGTGTTGGTATTTGCAGTGATGAAGCTCCAGGCAGCCAGTTGGTTACAGATAAGTTTCACATTGACTGGGACTCAGTGCTTGTCAACTCTGATAATGTCATCGTAGCTCGATTTGATGGCAGAGGAAGTGGATTTCAAGGCCTTAAGATTCTACAGGAGGTCCATCGATGCTTAGGATCAGTGGAAGTGAAGGACCAAATAGCAGCTGTAGAGTACGTATGTGCAAATTTTTCTTCTCTTTTACCCTGCTTCCACCTTGATGAACCAGCATTTTTAACTGAAACTGCCGAAGATGTTTTCTTTGCATAGTGAATACCGTTAATGTTTATTTTTAATGCAGTTGCAAATTTTGAAACAATAATCTTTTCATTACAAACAGCAAATTAAAGGTCAAAGAGGTGTTTGCTTTTTGTGTTGGCACTTCTCTTGGATAAAGCTGTTCTTCTGTGTGCAATCTAAATATGTTATCTGAGCTAATTTGTGTTTGTCTGTATTCCTTAGGAAAATTTCTTGCAGCACACATGTTAATGCATTTGTGTTACAATATTTTAGGCCTATATGATAGGATGCTGTTCCCATTTCCGCCACAGAGTTCTGGAGTAATCGGATAAAGCAAATGGAGTTATAATGGTGTAAATAAGAGCAACATTTGGGCAAATGCCTCAATCAAAATTTCTCATTTGCATTATTATTCTTAGACTGATAGAAATCCACCAGCTGCAGAAAGAGTCATTTCCCTCTGTGGAGTAATCACACATGGCTTTGACAACACTCTTTACTAAGGGTGCACATGTCAAAATGGCTAATAGCAAGGTCTGGATGGACTTTTCTAGGGATTCTCAAGGAAAAACATATTTTAAGTCAGATTTTGTTTTCTTCTTTTGAAAGGGGTTGATGTTTCAACCATTGCATGAGTAGGCGACTGTCTCTGACATAACGTACCTGGGCAATAGGGCTCCTAGTGTTCGTGTTGGTCAGGAATGGGCTGCGTTGAGCAGAGCAATTCATCTTGCATGCGTTCAGGTGACCCTTGCGAAAGGGCCATCAGAAGCTGGCCATATGCTGTGCTGTAAGATCTGAGCTCTTTGCTCAAATATTAAGTACATCTGGTCTCTTTTTGGATGCACTGCATGGGAAAAAGGGATTGTGCTCTTGGCTGAGAGGAGGTACAGCAACTGGTTTTGTGTCCTCAAAAGCAGTTGGATTTTGCCCTCAAGTTATTCTTTTCTGTATAAAATTGACCATTGCTGATTAATGGCTTTGATGAGGGAATTAATTATTTGGATAGTTATCTTGATACAAGAAGTTGCATTTATCTAACCTTCCTTTAGCTATCAAAAAACTAGGCACCTGGTCAAAGCCAGTCATTTAAGCTCTGGTTCATGGAAAATCCTGGCATTTCTGGACGGTGATTCTCTTCAGACTGAGAGAGGTTTCCAACATGGGTGGGAAGAACGTCTGTTTGAGGGTGTCCCTCTTCTCTAACTGAAGAGCAGATGTAAATGGGCAATTTAGACAAGATGCTCAAATTCAGCTATCTAAAGTTAGGTGAGATGAGTCCAACACCAACTGTTTGCCATATACAGAAGGAATTAGAAAGCAAATCACGTTTCCCAGTGCAATAATACTTTTATTGGTGTAATTTGTTCTTCTACCTGATCTGCATGTATGACAGTTCCTTACTGTACAAATAATTTTCTTTACATACTAGACTCAAAAAGTAAAATTCACCATTTTACTTTACCAAAGTAAAAAAAAAACTTTTTTTCTTTCAGATCATTATTGAAACAGCCTTTCATTGATCCTAAGAGACTGAGTATATTTGGAAAGGTAATGTGCAAAAATAGCAGGATGTATCATCATGATTCTTTAAGAAAATACTATCAGTTCATAAACAAATAAATCTATCTATTTTCCTAAGACAATTTCAGTTATTAAAATAGGCGAAAAAAACTTCCATAATTTACTGTATGTTCTGTATATTAATTTTTTCTCAGAATGGGTATTTGAGATCAGTCAGATCAGTTTTATGGTACTGCAGTATTTGCATTTCAGAATCTGCAGGAGAAAGTATTTGTTAAAAACATCTTTCTTTAGAAATTTTTAATATGGGCTTAGGTTTTGTGAAAGCTTGTTTCTTACACTTTTACATTTGGGCTGCAGTTAAATTGACAACATCCTTCTAATACAACTTTTGTATCTGAATGTCTTACCGACCCTTCAAGTTATCTGAGTAACAACCCTACGGTACTGTCAACAACTTCTTTTTTGCACCATCTAGAAATCTTGCCTTTGCTATTTTGTCAGCTGGCTTCACTGTGTGGTGTGTCGTTGCCTCTAGCATGAGAGAGAACAAGGCAAAAGCTTAACCTTTAGTAACAAACTAATTAGCATTTTACTGATGTCTATTAAAAAACAGCAATTAGAAACACCACGTAATTGCAGCTTCTTCTATGAACTAGCATGTGCAACCTTTTTTCTTTTTTACAAAGTGTTTTCTTAAAAATGAAGATGTTTTGTGCCTTTGACCTCAAAGCAACAACAAACCATGATCGAGTACCTAGACAAATCCCCCAATCACCAGTTATAAGAGCAGCATGCGTTTCACTATGAAACCCCTTAGCTCCCATCCCCACTCTGCTACGGACTTGCTGCATGGCCTCGGGCAAGGCATTTAACCCGTGTGTCTCTGTCTGAATGCAAGATGAGAATATTGATATTTAACTCCTGTATGGTCACATTTTGATGACTAGTTAATGTTTGTGAAGTGTAGTGAAAATGAAGTACTATTATTAGCGTTCCACATGACAGTGACCTTCCTCAAAGATTTGAGCTGACACACTCCTTGAGCTAAAGAAACTGTCATTGCAAGAATATCAGTAGCATCAAAACCAGTATTTGGTTCGTAGGGCAGCAGCCAGAGATTTTTCAGCTGAGGATGTGTAAGTAGGGCTGATTCCATCCACCAGATGATCATGGCACACATTTCTATTCACGTTTTAGTGCCTGTTGCCAATGTATATGAAAGTACGCATGCATATAAGCATCTATGCTTCTCCATATCTTCCCACAAATGATTAAAAATGTTATTTCTGAAATGAAATCACTAAGTACCCTGAATTGCTCACTTGTTTCTGACTTCAGAAATTCTTTTCATTGCTACTTGAAAATTTCCACTTGTTTTCTGTAGGAGATTCAGCAGTATCTTGTTTCCTAACAGTGACGTGATGAGACAGTTACCTTAGAGCATACATGTAAACATGGTTTCACATACATGCCAAAGGCTACCCCCAAAATTTTTTTCTTTCACAAAATATTATTGATGATGGTGTTCCTGCATTTATTTTCTGAAAGAAAGATTGAGGAATGAAAACTGGAAATGTGAGAAAACAAAGAACAAAAACTGGGAAATTCAGTAAGCTTCAACACTGCTTTGAATTCAGGGAGATTTATCCTTTCCAAGTTAACCTCTCAGAGTTGTTTTCTACTGTCAAACAAAAATTCATAAAATTTAAAAGTCAGGTTTAGAATTAGGAAAAAAAAAAATCTATTTAACAGCTTCCTAGGGTTAATTGTATTTTCCTCCACTCTGCTTATTTTAAAGTCAATTAAAAATCTTCTTTAAAACTCATTTCCTTTTTACTATGTACAACAATGTGATAGGAAAAATCGGTTTTTTTCTTTCTATGCCTTAAATTGGGCTTACTGATGGAAGTAGAATATGCACTTCACTTGAAAATAAGATGATTTTGGAATTGCTTAATGCTGATCTCATAAAGATGGACTCATGCACAATGTCAGAGAGCTCTTAAGAGGTTTTAGAACAACACAGAAATAAAATTTTTGCCTCAATCAGTAATGTAAGCTAGGCACAACAGTAACAAGACTGTCCAGAGGGGCACAGTGTGGAAAATACCTACTTCTGACTGCCAGGCAATCTGCCAATGCCATCTTGCTTATCTCTGGGAGGGGTACAAGCCCAAGTGATGCATGATCCAAGGGCCTTTCTGAACTGTTAGACAGCAAATTGTGTTTCCATGTAGTCTGCATTTTTGTCATGGCAGTAGAAAGAGCTTGAAAATAAGTTGCAACTTCACAGCCAACCAGCTTTTTGAAAATACGGCAGTTGGGTTGTAACCACAGAAGTCCAGTTGATGAAGGAGGGACCATATATGCTTGCATCAGGACATATGAACTATTTTCTGCATTGTCATCGTGAAGTGCTTCTAAAAATGTGATCTCACTGTGTAGTGTTTTTGTCCTGGAAAGCCTGGCTGAAAGCAAGGGCACAAGCACAAAGGAAAAATTCCCAGGAGAACTAAACCATAAATAATAAATAACCTGGCAATAGCTATCCTAGGATTAAAATTGTGCTGTGGAGCTACTGGGAAAGACACAAACAAAATAATAAACAAAAGCAAAAGTAGAGAACCCAGAGGCAGAGGAAAGTTGCTATTATACAAGTCACAATTGTACAAGTTATCCGTGCGCACTCAGAAATTCTTTCTTAGGTGAAATCTGCTCCTGCACGTGGACAATTCTGGGCAGCTCTTGGCCTCCTGGGCTGGAATTTCTATGGGAAAGGATAACTCAGTTCCTCACGCTCTTTTGAAAACGCAGCTCTTATTCTGTATTTCCTTTAGTATGTCTATTCGCATTTACTAAAGGTTGATTCCAAAGAACTCCTCTTTGCTTATTTTTCTTAACTAAAGTTAAAGGATTTTCAAATATTCCCATTCTTCCACAGAAATCATCTATTCGTTAAATATTTAGACATAAAGAACAGGAGCAGGCAAGATTCAAAAAAGTCCATGAGAAAACTCTGTGACCATTTGATGCACAATATTCTTTTTTTGGGTTGGCTGGTGTTTTACATTTTTCTTTTCCCTGTCATGGGATAATTTCTTCTTCCTGAAGTGTGTTGTGCCAAACACAAAACAACAACAACAAAAAAATACCTGCAAAAATCAATTTACCAGCACTGATGAAGAGAAAACAAAGATGGCAAATAGAGAAATTTGAAGAGCCCATAATATATGAGAAAATCAATGATCCCAGACTCCACAATTCAGAATTTCATTTTCTGTGGGTCTAGAATGATTATAGGTGTACAGATATGGATTGCCAGTGTCACTGCAAAGAAATCTGTGGTCTCAAGCTAAAGCTTTCATGACTCTCTTTTGTGTCACAACTCTTCCCAGGGAGGTGTATTATAGACTTTGCAGAGGAGATGATGAAGAGATGTGCCATAAGGACAGATAAATGTGGTGAGGCAAGGAGGGAGCTCCCCCGCTTCTGCCCCGTCTCTCCCAGCTTCTTCACGCCGTCTGTGCTCCCTGCTTTGTAACACAGCCGCCTGATGGGTGCTCTTGCAGCCGGGAAGTGCATCCAGAGATTAGCATAATATTGAGCAATGTGGCTACGCATAGCTTTTATTTCTGCAAAACAGTGCAGGATCTGTACATCTCTGTGGGATATTTGATAATGCTGTAGCAGAAGCCTCTTTAATAGCAATAGGATTCAATCTGTGAAGGTTTAAGTGTCAGGGGGAGGACATACTGCAGTCAGTTCACAGGTTTCCCCCATACCTATGCTGTCTGTCCTGTCAGCAAAATGCTCAGTGTATCCTGGTAATTAGCAAATATCTACATTAAATATATTAAAAACTAAGCACAAATCTTCCTGTCTAGGCCTGTCTAGCCGTACCTTTGTTTTTGTTTTGGGGTTTTTTTTGTGTAATTTTCAAATCTTTTACTAATTATACACTAGTCTGCCATGAATTATGGAGCTTAAACTGAAATATACTCATTATTATTAATTGCATGGTTTAAAGATCACAACCAGGCCATATGAGATCTTTATTCGCTCTCAACTGTAGGTTTGCATTTCCTTTAAAAGCAATTCTTGCAGATATGAATGCATACTGTAAAATGATACCATCAGATTAGCACAATGGCCTTTAACTTTATTGTTGCTAAAAAGAAATGAATAAACAAAAATCTCAATATCATTTCCACTGTTAGGGATACGGTGGCTACATTACATCAATGATCCTGAAATCCAGCGAACGGCTCTTCAAGTGTGGAGCTGTGGTGGCACCAATTACAGATATGAAGTTGTATGGTGAGTATTCCCTGCCCTACACCTGTGTGATAATCTACTCAAAATATCTTTTATTCATGGAGCTACTATTCATTTTAACTAAGGGCAGATAATGTAGCAATATCAACTAGATTTCACCTCACTGTCTCATTCTCTCCTTTAAATGAAAGGGCAGCTAACACTGGGACAGTTTACCAAAACACGCAACAGATAGAATATTATTAACACCACTGATTTTTGCAAAGGAGTTGTGTTTCCCATTTCCCACTGAAATCCAGTCAGGTACCCCATTTCCTAAGAATCCTTTAGGTATATCAAGAATCAAGACTTATAATAGGAATGGATCTTTTAAGGTTAGTGGTGAATTCCTTATGATGTCAACCATGTCGCCATTCAATCACAGGATACTTGGTTCTGCATGTGAAGTTTTGGGCACAGGCTATGGACTGTGGACTGTGATACACAGGAAATCAGACCAGGTTACTTTAATGGTCTGTTAGTCTTTTCTTTGGTTTTTGGTTTTTTGTTTTGTTCTGTTTGGGGGTTGTTTTTTGGTTTTGGGGGGTTTTGTTGTTGTTGTTTGGGGTTTTGGGTTTTTTTTTTTAACCATTTAAAAATGGTTTTAAATGGTACATTTAAATGGTACATTCTGGTTTTAAATTAACATCTCTTTGTTGACTTCATAGCTTAAATAGCTTTTCCTGACTCTAGGTCAGAACTGATGAGTTTTAAAATAGAACTAATTTTGATGAATTCACAAGTTCTTGTTTTTACTTTCACAGCGTCAGCTTTTTCAGAAAGATACCTTGGTATTCCGTCAAAAGAGGAAAATACCTATCAGGTAAGTTAACATAAACCAGTAACTTAAAATGACTGGTTTACTCCTAAAATGCAATTCATTTACACCTTTGTGTGTGTTTATTTACTAGGCATCCAGCGTATTACACAATCTTCATGGTTTAAAAGAAGCGGATTTGCTAATAGTTCATGGGACAGCCGATAGTAAGTATTTCCGGATGCAATTACATTTCGAGTCAGAGGTTTTAATACGCAGGCATTCAAAGACTGATTAGGCACACACCTAGCAAGTACATTTTTAGTTTCATTATCCCTCTGATAGGATTTTTGATTTTATTTCAATTGCCACTTCTAACTCTAAACTGATGACGCTTTTCTTTGCTGAATATTTGTACCTTTTAGGTGCTGTATGTTCTAATTTGTTTAAATCTTGTGGACCACCGTCTTGCTAGTGAAAGGTATTATATGAATTATTAATAGAACAACATACGTTTTTAATGGTATTTTAAATTCATAGAGATTCTGCAAGTGAAGAAAGAATTATCAGTACAGTTGGTGAAGTACAGAACCAAATGGGAAGTTAAACTTTTCAGCTAATTAATTGCAAGGTAGTCCCAAAGCATCTGAAGCTGAAGCTATAGGGAACCTTTTAATAGCACCCATACTTTTAGCAGTAGTTTAAGACAGAGAATGAGTAAAACAGAGTAAGTTCTAGCACTTTAAATGGAATAATAAGATGTGTCAATCAAGAGGTAATTTGTAATTACAGATTTAAATTTAACTGCAGAGTATTTTTCTGAACTTTCTTAACTGATGCAGGTCTAAAGAACGAGCTTTGATGCAGGCACAAATTACAGTGCTGCAACAAGCTCCTCTGTACAGATTTAAATGCATACTTCTTGCCCTGGCATTTTCCTGGCGAATGGGGGATAATACAAGGTTTCTTACTCCTCTGTCTGGAGGGATAAGTCCCTCGGACTGACAAGGGCTGAGGTGAGAGTGCCCACCCACACGGTTGGCACAGTGAGGATGGCACCCACCAGACTGTCACCCTAGTGTAACTTGTCAAAGCCATGTTATGGATCCCAAGTGCAATCAGGGGTGCAAACGCTGTCCAGTGTTTCTTCCCAGAGAGCGGGGAGGGGGACAGAGGAGATATACCGGGTGACTGAGCAGGCATGAGGGTTTCAGACTTTGCCGATTGTAAAAGGCAGCAGCAATTTCTACCCCTCTGAACTCAACGCTAGAGGGAATTGGGACTCTGATAGATGTCTGAGCAATACATTGTGTTCAAGACGAGGACTCTGATTGCCTGCTGCCCTTGCTTAATATCACATCTGGTGACACCGCCCAGCCCGCTTGCAGCCTAAGCTTTGCAGGGTTAGGACATAGTAATAAAGTTGCCTCGTTTTACCACACAAAGATTAAGTTACTGATATGTTGCAGAAAGTCCATTACCTAAAGAACTGTGGGCTGTAATAACCCCGTGCAAGCAGTAGAAAATCCAACGCGCTTTCCTTTAACACAATTATAAACTGTCATGATGTTCAAACAGAATGGTTTTACACGCCTCTAAACTATCGCAGTGTGTGTAAATCAAGGGTAGAGAGAGGAGTCCTCACAGAGTGCCTGGAAAGCATGGCTTCCCCTGGGGCTTCCAGCTCCTTCTCCAAAACCTCTGCTGTTATACCCTGCATCGCTGTTACTGGTGGGGCTGTGCGCTTCTGACCAGATAGTCAGCTTCAGATATGGTAATTACAGAGACTGGAAATGTTTTCAGTCAAAGCTGTTTAACAGATAAGCATTTCAAACTGGCTTAGCTTTTTCTAATAATATCCAAATGTTGTTGTCTTGCAGCTAAAGTCCACTTCCAGCACTCAGCAGAACTCATTAAACATCTAATAAAAGCTGGAGTTAATTACACTATGCAGGTATGTGCAGCTGTGACATTTCCTATAAACGTAGTTCAGCATTTAACCTCATATTGCTATTTCTTCCCTGAGAAGGACCCTCCCTACCAGAATGCACCAGTGTTACCTCTAATTTGCAGTTGGAACTCTGATCCCATTTTCCTTTCAGTTAGTACAGACGTCAAGAACCGTATCTTCTTCTTTTTCTTCTGGGCTCTTTCTCCTCTCTCTCATCTTTCTTTTTTCCACCTGTTTATCCTACAATGCTATACAAAGTGCTTTACAGTCCATATGCACTCTTTGTAATATGGAGATATCACTACTTTAGTCCCTTTTTACCTAAAAAAGTATTGGGTCACATGAAATTAGTTTCCCCTTATTTTCAACACTTAAATTTATTAAAAGGCAGCTAAAAGGCAAGAGCGCTGTTCCCTCTCTCCATAGCCGTACGGAGGGTGAGGGTGCTGTGGGGGACAGGCTGGGGAGAGCAGGACAGGGCGTGCTGCTGATGTACAGACTTGCACGGGACCCACTGCGGAGTATGTGGATGTTTCTGGCTGAGGCTTCTGGTCGCATTAAAGCTTCTTGAATATCCTAGATGATGTGGGTTTGGGTCACTCCTCCAACTCTCTCTGATGTTACACATTGCAAACCTCGACCTTGCTGAAGCTTAGGTAAACCTGTAGTTTCCACTGAAGGCGTGTGAGCTCATGTCAGGGAGGAGGTGGTAACAAGAGGGTTAGCATCACTTAGCAAAAGGACTTTATGTGTGAAATCTGAGTGGGGTAGGATCTGTTCCAGCTGCCCCTGTGATTTCAGCTGAGATGATGTGAAGGCCTAGGAATGACAGAGGTCTCTCAGAAGAGCCCTGTTGAACAGTTCTCATGCAACCTTGTGATAACCTGAGTTTGAGGAAACAGCTGAAGCTTTTTGCCTCAGGCCACCGCAAGTCTTTTGTCCTAAACCCTGTGGCCTGGATTTCTTCATTCAGCCTGCAGATTTTTGTTCAGCCTCACTTGGGAGAAATTTCCAGTGGAATTTGAGTTAAGGGATAAAAATGCCCACACCCACCCTACGGGAGAGGGATGATGGGCTTTAGATAAGATAGGAAGATAGTTAAAAATATGAATAAAAAGGCTCTTCACTGAACACTTAGAAGCTGGGATATTGAGAGATCCCTAAAACCACGAGGTAATTAATCCTCATTGATGTTAATAGGATTTGGATGCCTAGACACTATTGAAAATGCCAGCTAAGTAAACTGTTGTAAGCACAATGACTGAGAATATAAATTTTTTCACTTCTGCAGATCCCACTGCAGTAGTTGTTTTATGTAAGTTCAAATTCCAAGAGAATGAGTTTTACTTTGAGTTTTATTAGCTTTCCTTGATGTCATAAAACTAATGTTATCATCCTGTTGTCATCTAAAACATTTGGAAGATCAGAGAAAGAAAATTAGAGCCCTAAATATTTGAAAAGCCTTTAAAAAACCATTTACTTTTTTCCTTTCTCCTCTGCTAGATCTACCCGGATGAAGGTCACAACATTGCTTCTGAGAAAAGCAAATATCACCTTTACAGCACAATCCTTGGGTTTTTTAGTGCTTGTTTAAAGGAGGAGGCACCGATTTTACCACAGGAACCTGAAGAGGATGAATAAGGAAGCCTATTTGTGTAGTACTGAAGGGGACTTACTTTGCGGCTCAATAAAACCTTAAATAAAAGTGACTGTAAGATTGCAGATTCTGCAGAAGCTCAAGGGCAGCTAAAGGATATCACAGTGGAACAGCACATTTACAGACAATGAGCTAATAAACTGGAATTCGACTACAAAGTCCAAACATATTACCAAGGGACAAAACCTTTACCTTTGTGGAAGGTCAACAGTTGGTTACAGTTTCCTGGAAGAACTTAGTTTTGCATAAATGTAGGGTTAGTGCATGTTTGTTATGTTAAGCCTCACTGTTGGTTCTGTAAGTGGTTGCTCGTTTTTTAATTTAAATGCACATCTTTATTCATCTTTGCATAATGCACAACCTGTCATAAGTATTATGGCCACTAATATTTTAAAAGGTGAGCTGCAATCTAACACTTTACTGTAATGTTACAATAAGTGCAATTCTTTCGCTGTCTATTACACATAAGAAACCACAGAGATAATAAAGGGCACGATATTTTCTCTAGTTTCTGCTCAAAGGGGATATATTGTCTAGTGCATCATATAACATTGATATTGAAAATGATTTTTTTTCCCCAATTTCAGCATTTACTATTATTACTGTACCTACTAGTAACCAATAAGGGACTTTTTGGTAGTGTACTCTTGGTCTTTATGTATATACCCAGGACTCCCTAAGCAGAAAATCCTTATGAGCTTGAAGAATTTTTTTCAAGACATAATTAACAGCTGTATTTAAAACAATATCTGCAATTGAAATCTTTCCCCAGTCCAAAATGTATCTATTGTTTCCTTAAAATATGTTTGAGTTGTGTTTTGGTATTGTTTATAGTAGTTAATAGTTTGCTGGTTACACTCTAATTTTAGAATATGCTACTTTGTCACATGTAAATTAGATACATAAATATTAAATTATAGTTTCAGATAAAGAAAATTTATTAACAATGTATAATGCCACTGAATAGTACTTTACTCCTCAAATGAAGACATATTTTGTATAGTGCATCTTCCTTTTCTTCCATCTGGTCTCAGATGTAATTCTAATGTTCATCAAGGTGGCCACGTAGCTGGAACAGGCCATTAGTTTTTATTCCAGGGCTGCTCATTAAGTGTCTTGCAGCAGGATTTAGCTTCAACAGCATTACAAAGAAATGAAATGTTTTTCTTTCAAGGCAAAGGAAGCTCCTGACAGGTTCAATTTTATTATTTATTCAGAGGGCGAGCCCCTCATACATCCATTTATTTGCCAAGGTGAATTACAGCAATAGAAATTGAAACTATGAAATAAACAAGGCAGCCAGTTTGGGTTTGCAGAATATTAACTCTGATCACTGAAATTAAGTACAATGTTGACTTAATTTTGAGATATCTTCCTGAAGGTATGTGAAAACTCTTGACAGATGCTGTGCCACTTACATGAGAATAGCTGTCATTTTTTTCTTTCTGGATATATTCCAAATACTTTCTTACCCAATTAAGGTTTCATTTCTTGCAAGATTAAAAAGAAAGTAATTTTTTGAAGGTAACTATACTATTTATGATGCAAAGTTCTGCATATTTTATGAAGAATGAGAATTGTTTTTAATGTAATCAAAAATCACCTGAAGCTTTTTACTCATTACTTTCTTCTGGAATATTTTCTTTCACAGTTAGCATTTTTTTATGATGCAAATAATTAATTTGTCTGAAAGGTGTGGTTTTATGGAACACTGGAAAGTCTCTGTCTTTTAATGTTTAGTATTTATCTTGTTTTAGTAGCAATGTTTAACCATTTTTCAATTAGTTTAATACAATTTTAATGTGCAATGATATCTTGTTTGGGTCCCAGTGTCACCGCAAAGTATGGCTTTGCTTTGTGGTATTATAGTACATATGGAGTACATATTTATAGTATAGGTACGGTATATATGTATGGAGGCTACTACGTGCGTTACTATAAGACCATACAAAACAACAAAAAAAGTAAGAGAGTTCAAACAAGGGTTTGCAAATCCTGTTTTCTATAAACGAGCAACATTTTAAAGTCTTCTATTGGCTGGGACTTCTAGATTGTGATTTTATAAATTACAACCATTACTTAATAAATGCTCACCTGACAATACTGATGCTTTTCCTAACCAAACACAGTAAATGAGGTCCTAATCCAGTTGAATTCAGTGAGACTTTTTTCCCCAATTTGAGCCAAATGCACACAAAGAAACCACAAGCTGTGTGCACACATTGAGCGTACCGCATGGACTCTGCTTGCGGAGGCTACGTGAAAAGGCTAATTCTTCTCAATATGCGCCGGCTGTTTCTCTGTGAGACAGCCACTATGTGCTCATATTTACTACATTTCACATATATAGCCTTTAGTTACCTGCAAAAGAAAACAAACAAGGCTTGCGTCTCAGCAATAGGATGATGCATGTGCTCAGGAAATGTTACCGCAGATCTGTGGAATCCACACCCTGTCTCCTCCTTTCCCCATAGCTCTCCGTTTCAGGCCCCCATTCCCTGCTTTTTCTACCCCAGCATCTCACCTCCAATTTTGATCAATTTACCTGAATATGAAGGTGGCGTGAGGGCATGGCTTCTGTAAGAATGCTTTTGCCAGGACTGGTATGTTTAAAAAGTGTGTTATCTGAAATGTGGGTTATCTGTGTGGCAATGTGGTATTCTTTTAATGTTTCTAATATTTCTCACGCTGTCCTACAAATAGAGGTATTTTTATATATGTATATGAGGGTGAGCATCAGACCCAGATTAATTGGTTTTATTGAAATTTTTATGTATGAGTTAAATTCAGATATTGCAAAAGTATTTGCAGATGCAGCCTCTGATTCTAGTTACACTAAAGAATTTGGTGCAAGAGGTATCTCTACTCTTGCTAACCTGTTCAAATATTTCTTCCACTTACAGCACAACTGAATAGTGTTATCTATTAGATTCTACATACATAACTGATGGCAATCACTCATTAATTAGTCTATGTGATCTATAGTATTGATCAAGAATTAGTACACGTTGCACAGAAATGGCATGAAAAGCGTAGATTTTTCGTACCTTATCCATTGCTAAGCACTGTGATGACATTTTAGGTCTGAAAAATCACTGTTTGGTTCAGCTGTCCTTAAAATATGACACTTATTAGACTAGACCTATTAATTTATGGAAAGCTGGGGAATCAGCATATCCATTTACTGCTTGCTAGAGCTTATCTCTACCTTCTTGATTTCCTCTCTCCTTTTTCTGCTATTAGAACTTGCAAAATCTATGAAACCTGTAGGTCATATTGAAATTTCAGTTATATTACAAAATCGGGACTAACTGCATGTCAATTGGAATATTTTTTCCAGATTGTTGAGTACAAAGAAATGTTGATTATTTTTAAATTCATTTTTTCAATCTTTTTGCAGCGGGGACAGATTTATTTATGACCTGGTTTGATCAACGTCTGCTATGATTTGCTATAACCAACTGCTCATTGTTCCTATATTTTTGGCATATGTAGATTTACCCATGTCTGAAAATGAAGATGATTGCCTCTGTTCTCTCAGCTCTGGCATTTATTTTGAGTATGGAGTCAGTTAGGTTCATTTAGTTGAGAAATTGTACCTTTTAAGACAGAAGAGCTTGTATTGGATCTGAAGCCAAAGATTCTCCATGGAAACTTGGGAGTGTTGAGTGTTGGCTCCTTTAATAAAATGCAGAGGATACAAGGTGTAACCTAGTATCCCTCCTTGCAGGTTTGTTAGATGTTACTGAAGAAACGGAAGCAAGAGGAAGACTGGTCCAAAGAGACTGAATACCAGTTTCTTTTGCACAGCCTAAAAACTCATAGGCAAGGTGCAGTGGTCCTAGCATTTTATATTTACTTCAAGTAACTCCTGCTGTCAAGTTGGTTGCCTCTGAGAAAGGAAGAACCTCACCGGTATTGATTACTGGTGCATCTTCTTCAAAAGACCTTTCAGTACCGTTAAGATCACTCCTCTTTTTCCATTGAACGATTTCCAGAGTGCTTCAGAGAATGGGGAGCTCGTGGGACGTGGCTAAGGAGAGTCACAACTTCCAAGGTGCCCCTGGAGCTTTGAAAAGAAAGAAAAGGATTTAGTTAAACTTCTATCTATCTGTTGCATTTCATACATGAAAGTCGAGAAGGAGCTTGGCTTCAAGGAGGTAGGTGGATGACAAGTGTTGGTGATTCTCTCATCAGGGGGTAACACAACGTGCTTCCTACAAATCTGGTACCAAAATTTTGCAGTGGTAAGTAAAATAAATGCCCGTTTTCCGATGCCTGAAAATTATAGTGCTATTAAGTTAATTGGGTATGTGGATAGAATTAAGGAAATTAAACCACCTGAGTGTATGTGGCCCAAAGTTTCCATTAAACTTGGGACTAGACTTCTTGCCTGTATAATTAGTTTAGAAATCCAATATCCGTCCTTTACATAAATCTAACTCAACAACAACAAAATTGATTTACTAATGGTTATACCCCATGAGGACACAAATGATATGTACAATTCTTTTTAATTAAAATATCCCATAAAGTGCTAACAGCCCATTTTTAGATTTCATGATCAAAGAAAAAAGAAAAAAAAAAGCGCCCTCTGATTGATAAAACCAGCAGAGGCAATATAATTGGTAGGAAGACACTCACGAAATAGTTCCCTAAGGAAAGTGATTAGAAAAATGTTTTCTGTTAAAGTGTATTTTGTGTCCTAAGTGAGCTCAGAGTACAGCTGTCGGGGATGCTTCTAAGAGAATTTAGATGTTGACATACAGCTGATGTCCAGAGGGCTCAGGTGGGGAGCAGGTCCCTCTACAGGCAGGTGGTCCCGTCCCCCACCCAGTGCAGAGCCTTTGCAGCTTTCTGCAGAGGAGATCGTAGTCTGTGAGTTTAGTCCGCCACAGTCCCTTCTGGATCCAGCACGCTGGAACAGGAACACAATTGATAGGCAAAGACATGAAATTGTTACATCAGGAATAAGAAAAATATTTTTTAAAAATGACTAAGCAGTATGGTCGTCTTGCTATTCTCCAGTTAGTCAAAGGTGAGGGTGGGGAGCTTGGGCAGGGCACTTGGTGATCGACTCAGACGCACTCCAGCTGAGAGACCAGCTGGCAGAAATTACAGCTCTGGTAGTGTCTGTAAATGCTCTAGCTTCACTGTGAAAAAAGGAGAGGGAATATATGCATGGACAGAATATTCTGTCTCTGTTAATATCGCGGAAGAGGTGCTTTAATAGAATGGGCAGATCCTTCCAAAATCTTAACAAAGAGCAGAACAAGGCTGAAGAAGCGCGCTGGTTTGTTCCAGCAGCGGCACCTGTCAGCCTTTTCCTGGCATATACATTTGACAAATAAAATAATGTGTAGGATCCATTCTTGAGAAAGTTTTCAGCAGCATTAGGAGAGAGGTGAGAAAGAAGAGTGTTGTTAGGAGACAGGCAAAGAGACGTTTTATTGCAATATGTTTCTCTATTCAGAGCTTTCGCTGAATAAATAAAGTGGTGTAGCGTGTACCACAAAACCCGGTAACCTTAGAGACAAATGTAGCCAACGCTTGATTCAATAAACTTTCAACTAAAGCAGGACAGCCAGAACATTCAGTTATTTTCACAAAAGAAGGATGAATTACATGGTTTCTTATGGATTTTTAGTCCTGTGTTTAATTTATATCCTACATTTCAGATAGTCATTATAAGATAGGAATTGTTAAATATAATTCCACATTTGAAAAAAGCAGTTACAGTGAAATCTCTTGTTTTGCAAAACAGTGCAAATTGTTACATTTAAAGCTATTTACATTGTCAAGTTAACTGTTCTTCCTTTTGGGTTGTACTAGACACTACATTTGTTGGGCTGATGGGTTGACATTTCTTTTAATTGGAATGGAAATTGTACTGAAGTTGGACAGAGGGGCTTATCTGTTTTTGTAAAAATTGCTTGTGGAAATACGGTG